AAAGTGGAGACGGAGGTGGGAGCACAGGAGGGTGAGAAGGTGGTGGTGGAGGAGGAGGAGGAAGAGTAGGTGAAGTGGAAGAAGGAGGCGGTGCAAAATAAAGCTATGTGTGAGGCAGAGGGCGATGAAACGGATGTGGTGAGAGAGATCAAATGGCTTAAAGAGGAGGTGGAGGAGGAGAGATGCATCCGGTGGACAAAAGTGAGATCATCCATGCCAATTGGTGTCATGGAAGTAAGTAGTGAGAATAACCTACCCATTCCTCCATTTTTCATCACCACGTGCAGACATTCAAGACAAAATCAACACCATTAGCATCACAGCGCAACGTCACAAATGACGCAGTTGACCCACCATCAAATTGAAGTAGTGCCCCATTCCTCCACTACCGGATTGTAAGTGGCATTGTTGTGGCTGCTGCTGCTCCTTTTGCGAAGCAACTATGGACGTGGTGGCAGAGGAAAATACAGCCTCTCTCTCCTCTCGTCCTCACTCTCTGCATCACTTTCTCACGTTTTTTATAGTTATTCGCAGAATTTTTTAAGTTCCTGCCTGGTAGTGCATAGGGAGGAGGTTCTGGTTGGTCGTTGGCGAAAGAACACTCCCTTCACGGACATGGAGGATGGATGTGTGAGCGTGGGGAGTGCATGTGTTTGTTAGTGGATAGGTGGGAATGCGCCTCTCGCAAATGCATTCACTTCACCTCCCTGCTTGGTTGCTCTTCTCGCCGCGTTGCTAATATTCCTACCGTTCTTGACAAGGTGACGACAATGAAAATGACGAATCGATGAAATGCTACAACATCGTGAAAGGGCTCTTGCTTCACTTGCCTCACTCAGCTCACCCTCTCCCCGATTGTAACTCCCGTCTTCCATATCATTCTCATCCATATGTACCGCATTGTGGCAGCCTCCCATTGGCACCACCACTGCTTCCCGTCCTTCGTTTGCCCTTTTCAAACACGAGCCTCGATTGGCATTATTAGTCTATTGATGGCATCCTTCATAGCAATGTGAGCGTGTTGCCGAGCCTCAGCATCTGTGGCAGTACCACGACCGTTTAATGCGAAATTGGGTGGGTGTGGCGAGTCCTACATATCCACTAGTGGAGGGCAAGGAGGAGGAGGAGGTGGTGGTGACGCTCCTAATAGTGGTGTTCGCGCAAACGCCGCCAATGGTTTAGAAGGAAAAATGATCTCCGTCGCAACATTCCAAACCTTACATTTTGATTTCGTGCCTTGGCGTCCAGTCAAATGGATTGGTCTGCATTTAGTTCTGGTGGATTTGTATAAACTATCAGGTGTTGGTGTTTTAACTTTTAGTGTGGGAGTGCTTTAGATGTAAGGTGAGCTTCTGATCTCCTTTGACTGGTAGTTGCGCATACTTTGATCGTGCCTCAGACTCGTCCTATCGGAACCGATTAGCGGTTCGATGACACTGCGAAAGATGGGTTGATCGAACCATTTGAGATCACTTTTGATTGTCTCCTCGAATTAACAAATTGCGCTGCGTTTGTATAATGTACAATATTTTCCAGGTTTGCGTATGAGGTGACCTCAGTAGCGCTCAATCCCTTCACACTTTACTCAAAACAGATGACACATTGCTGGTAGATGAGAGCAATGGTTTATGTTTCATCGTACGATTGTTACGCCATGCCGAAAAGTTGACTGAAGCGTTGTAGTCGAATTAAATTTTGCGACGTCTTTACGACTAGCTTTTCGTTTCTATAAGGTGTCAACTGTCAAGGAACTTATGGAGTACCCTTGGAAACCCACCGTCAGCACCAAGTTAGCATGGTAGTCCCCATTTCCGTTCAGTTTGCTTCGTAATTCAAGCACAAATCTGTTACAACATCTTCGTATTGGAGCAAATTGGCGTTCTTAAATCCCACTCATTAGTACGTCAGCCTGGTAATTGGTGGTTAGTAGCAGCTGCAGCAAGCCTTCGGAGGTCTTCAGGATGCTAACGCAAGCGAGATTCATGTTGTGTTCCATTGTTACCCCTTGACCAAAAGATAGCCTTGGTCGTCTACTACTATTAGCTCTTCAATGCATATTCATTGGTGCGGGTGGTCGTTGTTGCCGGCACGTTTCAAAGTGAGTTAATCATCCTGCCATGATTGTGGTACTGCTAGACCTTCCCTTCCTGCTAATGAAAGCATGAATAAGAAATGAAGAAGCTCTGTCAAGCACAGCTTGGTGAACAGTGATTTGAGTCAACCGGTTTGTCAGTCGATTGCTTCAAATTAATATGAGGAGATCCAGAACGAACAGCTGTAATAATTACTCACGTAAAAACAGCCCTGATTATTACAGAAGAAAGTGCTGTTAGAAGCGATTGCTAACCCGGCAGATGCTGGAACAATGGAGAGGATTTTGGGCAGACCATTCCTTAAAAGGCAACATCCACACACTTCTGGATATTCGTGAATGCAACGGCAAACAGCGGAACATTAATTAACAATGTATGAACTAGACAAATCTCCCAAATGTTTTTTACATTAAAAAATAGAGATCCAATGCGCTGGTGGCAGTGTCGATGGACAAAATCACCAAACAAATGCAAGACGATTCTGCGTCGAGTGTGTATCTAAAGTAAATGCACTGTAAACACATATTGGGCTGTCTAAGGTAGCAGGTTGAGGTCGACTGAGATGCAAATCGACGTCAGTTTCATAACATCGTGTGATGCATCACCTCCGTCCGCACAATCTAGCCATTTAAATGCTCGGTCAGTGCCTTATGCCTACTTTTGCAAATGTGCGCACACTTGTTTAGACATCATGCAGATTATAGCTGTCGTTTCCTCACTGTCCAAACGCTAGAAAAACCGGTTGGTGATGGTCCAATGTCTTCCGAGTAGTCGATATCGCTTGTTATCATCCAAAAAGGTAAGCTATCAAGAAGATTTAAGAGATGTTTTAGGTTAACAAGCACAAGCTAAAATTTCCCAACGCGGGTCATTTGACTCCTACTGCCTCATAGGCCACACTGAGTAGTCCTGTTGGATGTCTTCGAATGCAACGACTTGCAATAATTCCGCCCCGCATTTTCGAATGCAGACACAAAAGTGGACCCCTTAACTTACCTTTAGTGCGTGTCTTAACTAGAGAAAGCCCTCATTCGAAGTTTGGGCGGTTTCTTCGTTTGAACGAACTTATAGACATGAAAGTGTAGGAACAGCCAAAATGTAGCAAAAGGCTACAGAAAGGGAATCTGGTTGTACCAATATTTCTTCATTAGAACAGGAAAGAAGATGAGGTAGAAGACCATCACGCCTCTCCACGCAGCTCTCACCATGACATACGCCTAGCTAAAGCATTTTACTTACTCTACGTCCTCCAGAAGGCGACTCAGTTTGTACCCTCATACCACTTTGGAAACGGACAATAATGGTAGCAAGTGAAAACGATGGTCTCTTATTGAGTAACGATTGCAGATTCCAAGGCTACCAGCTGTCCAACCAACACACGAAATACAGTTTTTCCTTTGCGTTGTTAAGGCAAAATCTCTGGGTATTAACCTGCCATGCCGTTGCCGTCGCCACGCCGATATCTGTGAACAGCACACATGACTTAGTAGGCGATTTTGTATAATCGGTGCCAAACTCTACGCCACTGACATAAACCAAGGCACTAATCGTTCAAACTATCAAATGGAGGCAGAAAACGAATCAGCAGTTTGAAATGAAATGCTCTGCATTCGCGTAAAATGGCATGACAGGTGTCAGAGGATGTTTCCAAAGACGCGGCAGCATGTAGCAAATGCATGTCCAAACTCCTCCAACTTTTGGCTAAACAGTTGCGATGTGGGCAGCGCTGTCACTTGATGGAGCCTTGCGCCTCGTCAGTCCACCTCTCCGCATACGTCCATGTTCTGTGCAGTCCGAGTGCGCAACTGAAGCGAAATTCTCCTCCTCACATCATGGTACTAATATTGTTACAAAATATACCAACTTTTGTATTTGTCTAGTGGAAGCGTTCAGCAGAGTGACACAACCCATTTGCTTCCTCTTTGCCCGATATTCTGTGGATCGGTGTGGATGCACACCATGTTGCGCACGTTGGGCAGTGCACATTGTGTGCATGGATGACACCATAATTTGTAGGGAGAGAAGGAAGATGGGAGTTGATTACTGAGACGTCAGCATGACTGCAACGTGTGTGTCTGTGTTTGGTCCTGGTTGCCTGTTGTGAAGTGTTTGTACGGAAGGCAATCCATCCCGCCTTATGAGGCTGAATGATACTGGTGTTAATGGAGTTCGGCTTTAATGTGTTAACATGGCAGGATACAACGCTACATGTTCTGCCTTGAAGATGACGGTCAAATGGATTCTTAAGACATTGCAACGACTTAGTCAATTGCATTGACATTTGCGTCTCCAAAATTAGAAGAAGACTGTTGTCATTGATGTTTGCCTTTCCTTTTTTACTGGGCAATTTACTTACACTATCTATACTGGCAGAGGAGGATTGTGTTTTCCGCATGATTACCAGGCTATCCAAAGCCGAAGACGCTTACTTGGTTCGTCAATTGTCGTCGCCTTTTGTTCTCATGGCATGTTCTAGAAATGCGGAAGAGGAGACGTTCAACGCCAAAATTCACCTCTTTGCAACAATGCTTTGCAGCTCTATTGGTCTCCTTCTGTTCCCGTCAGGATCAGAATTCTTCTCTCTCCCTCTCCATTATCTTCTCGCAGAAAAGCACTTTGCGATTCCATGCAACAGATCGCCTCTCTCTGCGTTTTTGGTGGAAAAGCATGGAGGGATCTTTGGCAATGGTTGTGATTATCCCCTTCCCAAATTCAGCATTCGGTGCATAAGATCAGTCGGTGTTGAAACATGAAGGTTGGAGGAGAGGTGACACGAAGCCAACCACCTACTTGCTACTTAGACTGAGATATATGTCCCAACAAACCTATATGATCACTTCGCAGCATTACCTGGCAGTTAGACAGCAGGCGTCTGCAGTGACACCTGCGTATTACTTCTGTCTTGTTCGCATGTGACCCCTTTTGTGTTGACTACGTGTTAGGCCGTTCCTGAGACCCGAAAATCACAATTCTATGCTCGCATGAAAGAAAGAGGCATATCAAATTGATTTTCGTCATGTGGAGGCAAGCTGGCCGTCTGGTGGGTGTGACATTAAAAGCATATACATTGAATGTCCGAAATGAATGACAGACTGTAGAAAACAGACCTAATGCCCATGACTTAACTCTTATTAAATTGGAACGATATAAGCTCGTAATGTTTGCCTCTCGGTCAAAATTATTATCTTTTCCACACCCACCTTCCTCTCTCTATGTGTGTACGTGTGTGTGTCTGTTAGGAGAGAGTTTAGGTACAACGTGCATTGCGCATTCGATTCGGTCCCACATACAATTACTTTTGTTAGCTTTTATGCATGCAGCAGCCTAAACTTCAGATCATCTGTTCTGGTACGTGAATGAGCAGTAATGCACGATAGGAAAGTAGATTGCTCACCGACTGGCTAAGCTATGGGCGACAGGGGTCATGATACACGGATGTGTGTAAATTGTAAGTTGGTGATGCTTTGTAATTTGGTGCGTGATTGTTGTAGACATTAAGACGACCTCATGCACCGTCATGGGCAGTTCGCGCCTAGTAATCAAAAGCTTCGCAGATCTGGTCGTCGTACCACAACCGCACTTACGAGGACGAGCACTATGAACGAATTGGGATTCATGTTTTGATCACATTCGTCTGTCTTTTGATGATAATGGTGTATTTGTTCCTCCAGGTTACGAAATGCATCGCCTTACGTGAACGTTAGTGGACACAACATTTCCGTGTTGCTGGCTAAGTCTGCGATGTGTTGTGCACGAGTGTCAGAAAGAGTGATGGAATACGTGTCGGAATAATGAGAAAAGACCCAACGCTAAACGATGACGAGCGTGTTTTTAATTGATATCCTGTCCTGCTTACGTTGAAAGCAGCGAATGGGAAAAGGGGATGGCAATGCAAAGTCACTGGGACGAAGAAGACAGCATGGGCAAT